AGTTTGATTGAAAAGTCTTTCCGCTATGATAAAGACTGTCCATTGTCCATTTCTAGTGTCCAGAACCATTGAAGGGGTATTTTTATTTAAAATAAATAATCGCTGATTGTCTCTTTTCTCAGCCGGTGAGAATTTCTGATTTAAAGTTATCAAACGAGGCCTTGACATTAGCTTTTTCTCAGGAAGCTCTTCTATGAGAACCATCGGATGCCGCACTGCGACTAGAGTCTGGGTTATTCTCAGCAATGATGAGATCTTTCTCCTGAGAGATTTATTCCAAGTTTGACCTCTTTTCCGGCAAAGCCATGGTTCTTTTCAGCGGCTCTGTAAGATTTCAGAGGTACCATATCTTCATCGCATCATCAACATAATTAATCCGTTATTTCCCTTAAATATTTTGCCATAGTTTGGTCATTTTGAGATCGTCACCTGCAGCTGCTTGCGCGAGAAAACATCTTCAGTTTTTAATAACAGTTATGTTCGCAGTTTTACCACACGTCTCCTATAAGGCACCGCCTAGTACGTTGCGGAATGAAATATTTCTCGCTGGGCGCAGTTTTGCATCTACCTTGTTCCTCCATCTTGTTTGCTGGCCTCCTGGCCGACGTCGGTCGTAGTCTCAAGGGCTGGAGTAGTTGGATTAGGATCAGCTAGTCTATCTAACGAGGCCAACGTTCTTTTTTGAATCTCATGATCTACTGAAATTACCTGTGCCCGAAACATTCATTTATCCACCACGGTAGTTTCTAAAATTATGACAGTTAAGCACAGGAAATACAGTTAACGAACTGCAGAATGAATTTTTAACCTAAATGGTGACAGGCTATGAGAAATATTCTGGCGGTCGTTACGTTTAGGCATAAAGTCCGATAAATTTTGAGACAGCGCTTCATCTGTTAAAGGAGTTTTATTGTGGTCACCGGAAAAACGTGACGCGTAACGCAAAATCGCACAAAGTCAAATGTGCGCCCGTATTATACCGACCAAAATACGTAGCTGTTTTGGCATCATCAGTTGGACACAGTGCTTGTAACCATATTTTTGATGGCTGACCGTTAGAAATAGCATTTCATATCAAAATATGAAATTTCCTCAACGTTTCGATACGAGTGACAGTTTTGAGAAAGCTTCCAGGCTTTTGCAGGTGCGTGTAGTTTGGCACGTTTAACTTCTGAATCAAACAGTACCGCTGTGTTTTGTATGAGCGGTTGTTTGTCCGACGGACAAGTATCGACTGCTAATTACGGTGCTACTGTAGCTCGTTATTCGACACGCTTTCACGCGATGACAACGGGCTCCGATGCTAGCACAGCACTGCATGGGGCTAGACTCGGTCTGAGTCGCCAACACCGCCGCAATCGACGCAGCGTCGCACATCACTACAGATATGAATCAATGACGGAGTGCCGAGCTTAGTGTTGAAAAACAGCTCTGGTGTTTTGATTCGTCCGATCTTCTTTCCTCAGTTTTCTTCCGCGAATTAAGTTCCACTCACAGTAATCCGTTAATTCATTCTGAAAGGGTGTTAATTTCTTAACTTGGTCGTGATTAGTGAAGATAGGCATTCGACTCATACCCGACCCGTAACAGCAAATAAATGGTTGCGCACATCTGCGTGATGTAATTAAGTGAGTCGTTGTGCCCAAGGGCAACTCTCGGAGTTTCTGCTTTCCTTACAGTAATCCGGTGTTGATTTCAATCGGAGTACACGGAGAAGCTCTGAAAAACGTGTACTTAAAACGTTAAGTACTAGCGTTAGTTACTTCAACGATATTACGCTGACGAATCAACCAATGATGGTGCGCGATGGGTACAGTAGCAAAGAGACCGGCTTCGAAGGCTGTGAATCTGGACAAGGGGCGATCTTTGTCCTAACCGCCAATTCCGTTCGGGAAATAAATTTTCAACGAATGACGGGGGACGAGTGACGGGTCGCAAGTGGCTAATAATCTCGGGAAACGGGGACAGCATGATATTCTGACTTGGACATGCCAGAATGGGCGAGATCTGCGATCATGCTGACCAATACGAACACCTCTTGAGGTTGCACTTCGTCTTGAACCATCTGATTGGTTGACTGCTCAGTGTGATAAACAGCATGAAGTGTAACCCCAAGAAAACAACAAGCATGTTTTACTGGCTACGCAAACCCAGGCGTTCAAATTACATTTCAGTCTCATGAAACAACATGCTGAATTGCGGGCGGCAGTCGCGTGACATGACTGACTTATTCTTCCTCTACTTCTTTCTCCCAATGACACAGCCTGCTTAAATCGCTCCTCTGCACAAGTTTGATGCTGCTTAAAGCATTTCGTTGACCGAGCGTTCATTCAGAGCAAGCCCTTTGGCTTTAGACAACTTGAATTCACTCACTAGACTTGAGTTGTACTGCCACTAATTCTTTACTGGGGACAGTTAAAAGTAATCACTTCTTTGCGATCCTCGTAAAATTTTGCATATTGTCAGAAACTAAATTTAACAACTCAGAAATAGAAAAGTAATAAGAAAAATTCCCACAATACCGAAAAGTAAAGCCTACCACCATTGGTTTTTAGGGTCGACTGTGGAGGTTGATTACGTCACTGCTCCAAATGTATCTAAATCGATCGACATCGTCCATATTTTCCCATGTATCTCAGTGCGTCGTGTTCTTTGTCTGCAGAACCGGTTGCTCAGTTAACCTGACCAACTTTCCTGGACTCTAGCGAAGCGGCAGCCAATGAGGCAGACTCCATTTTTCTTGATTACGTTCATAGAACAAACTTTCATTGAACAATAGGCGAAGTGACCTGGCCTTAATTCTGTTGGTTCGTGGTTCTTTTGGTTGGCGCAATGGCCTCTTGTTGACCATACAGACACGATGATTTGTTTGGTGCTTTAACTCAAGCATGAACAAACAAATCACGTTTTACAAATTAGTCTAATTTCTATCTACTTGCAGTGAATATCAAGGACCCACCAATAATAAAGTTGCCTTATGTCACTTTTAATAAAGTATCCTAGAAGGCACTTTAACAAATACGGTTGATAGGACTTCTACACTTGAGACCTAATTTTTTACCTTGTTAGATTAATCCTTTTGCTAACTTTTGCAACCTGTCTCGTTTGCTCTGTTTTCTCTCATTAACGGACTGATCGATTAAAAAAAGTGAAACAACGTCTTTATAAATTCCTCTCTTTGCCCGTTCTGAATAACTGTCAGCTATGTTTTCTTGAACGCTCCAAACAACCTACGTACATTCTATGGCAGTGTGATGCGCAGCTCTGTTTCATATTCACAAGCTGGGGTAGCACTGACGTAATATGCGTAAAATATGCCAAAAA